TCTGAAGTTAGTAATGGTCAAAAGTCAGCAGGAGATTTTTCAGAGGCTTCAGAAATGAAGAAAGAGTGAATTACCAAGAATTTTCTCTGTTCAGGGAGCTTATGCAAAACGGTCAAGCACAAACAGCTACTAGAGTCCATTTCATACTCAGTATAGAGTGGATTTTTGTCTTCTGATTTCTTAATCTAGTTCTTAGTACTGTCTCCTTTCAATGACAAAAATATATATATATATATCAGACCAAGCAGTACATTTAAATAGACAGATGAAAAAATTGCCATCTGCTTATCAGAGCATAATCAGATTTGCTCATTAAAAGAGTGTGGTCAACAGGTTGAGAGGTGAGACCACATTTAGAAAACCGTGTCCACCTCTGGGCTCCTTAGTTCAAAAAAGAGAGGGATCTCCTAGAAGGAGTCCAGCGGAGGACTACAGAGATGATTAAGGGCCTGGAGAATCTCCTGCGTGAGGAAAGGCTGAATAACCTGGGTCTGTTCAGCCTGAGAAAAAGAAGGTTGAGAGGGGATCTGATAAATATTTATAAATATCTTTAGGGAGGTGGGAGGCAAATAGATGAGGCCAGGCTCTTCTCGGTGGTGTGTAGTAGTAGAAGAAGGAGTAATGGGCTAAAACTTGAACGTAGGAAGTTCAGTACTAACATGCAGAAGAATTTCTTTATGGTAAGGGTGATGGAACACTGGAACAGGTTACCTAGAGAGGTCATGGATTCTTCTATGGAGATATTCAAGATTCATCTGGACGCGCCTACCTGTGTGACCTATAGTAGGGTAAAAGCTTTAGCAAGGAGCTTAGATTTCTTGAGGTCCCTTCCAACTCCTGCAATTCTGTGATTCTGCAATCATCATTATGCTGGTAATATCATTTTTGTCATGTAGAGAAGTAGAAATGTAAATTTAAAAAATCCTACTGCACATTAATCTACCATTCCTGAGATTATTCTCTGCCTTGCAGGGTAAACACAAAGCAATAGACAAGAAGCACTCCTAGCAAAAGAGAATTTACAAATCTCCAAATGATGTTGAATATGAGTGGGTAGACCATGACAAAATGTTCACACTTCTTCATCAACTTTAACTAGTTTGCCACTTCATATTTATACTATAAGCAGTGAACTGGATTTTCTTTGTGGGAAGAGTAATCCAAATGAAATGATAAGAAGCAAAAAGAAAACTGCTTTCATAGATCCAGGACAGGACAGGATTTGCTAGTTCACAATTCTGTTTATTTTGTTAGAAAAGTCTTTAAAAATCAATTTCCAGCATCATTTTATTAATGAAATTCTGATTTATATTAAGAATTAGTTTCATTTATTTTTTATATATAATCAGTGAAATAACAAGTTTCATTTTTGCTGTCTTTGCAATGAAACAATAAAATAAAATAAAATTAAAGGTCACAAATGTGTAAAATATTTTGATTTCTCTAAACAGCAGTATTTTTATACTTCAAAATTCAAAGCATGGACAGTTCATTTGTAAATCGCTGTTTAAGATTTATATAATCTACTGAGGCATCTACAGAGTCTACTGTTTGACTGTACAGTATTAATGCAGGAAAATGCTAACTGTTTAAAAATACAGCAATAGATTGTTATGATACAGTACTATAGTGTGTGTGAAATGGACAGATGAAGGTGAAATTCTCAGTTTGCATACTGTGAGTCTGTGATAAATCTAAAATATTTTTGACAAGATAAATTCAAAATTCAAGAAGTTATTTAGAACATGCATTAATCAACCGTACTGGCTCAGTAATCTGACCAGTGCTCTTTAACATCCTCATCAATGACATTGACAGAGGGATTGGTTGCCCCCTCAGCTGATGACACTAAGTTGGCTGATGACACTAAGCTGTAGGGTGCAATCGACACTCCAAAGAGATGGAATGCCATCCAGAGGAACCTAGACAGGCTCAAGTAGTGAGCAGAGGTGAACCTCATGAGGTTGAAAAACTCCAAATGCAAGGTATTGCACCTGGGTTGTGGAAAACCCACTATCAAGTACAACTTGGAGATGAAAAGATAGAATGCAGCCCTGCTGAAAAGGACTTGGGGGTAATGGTGGGATGGTGAGCTGGACATGAGCCAGCAATGTGCCCTTGCAGCCCAGAAAGCCAATTGTAACCTGGGCTGCACCAAAAGAAGCAAGGCCAGCTGAATGAGAGAGGTGATCCTGCTCCTCTACTCTGTGCTGGTGAGACCTCACCTGGAGTACTGTGGCCAGATGTGGAGTCCACAGTACATGAGATGTGGATCTGCTGGAGCACATCCAGAGAAGGTCCTCAAAAGTGATCCAAGGTATGGAACACCTTCCCTAAGAGGACAGGTTGAGAAGAGAAAGCTCTGGAGTGACCTGAGAGTGGTATATTCTAACATCATCTAAGTCAACACCAAAATTCCCAGAAATTTTGAGAGTCAGGATACTTGCACCTTGTTTTTAAATACAGAGAAGAAGTACTGCAGTCTTGCTGTTAAATTTGAAGAGGTCATGTCACGCTAGATGAATAAGAGCGTCCAGCCTGTGCTGACCAGACAGCCTGGGCCAGCTGGAATCTGCACTCAGCTTTTTGCAAGGCATCTAAAATTAGAGGGACTGAATCAAGGCAGGCGGTTTAAGTCATCACTAAATATATGTGTAGTTTTTAGTATGTGCTGTTTTTTTTTTCCCCGCACGTATCGAATTTGAGGTTGAGCACATCTAGGAAGCAGATATTTATGACAGATATTCAGTTTTCAAAGTTGAGCATGTAAAGGGTTTATTATCATACACTTTATGTGCACACATACATATGTACATATGTTTACATACATACACTTGCCTCAAGTGTGGTTTTAAAAACACAGATCTACTTTTACCTACTAACATGAAGTTAGCTACGATCTTTTGTCCATAAAGAAATACAGTGCTCATGCAGATTAAATTCATAGCTGCTTTCATTTCAGTAGGAATGTAAATGTCAAAAATACTAACATTAACTAGACTGTTTGCTCTTTTAAAGCACTGAATTAAATATTTCTGTTTGTCAGAGGGCCCCTCTCATGATATATATATATATATGCCAGACTCAATCCTCCTCTATGCTTCTAACTAAAAATGTGACTTATTTTCCAAGAAGGCAGTTAAAAGGCAAAGACATTGGAACGACAAAACTTAAGAAATGTTGCTCTAAACATGTTGGGAAAGGCAAGTCTACCTATTGGCATTTCACTCTTTGAGGAACTGTTCGGGGTATGAAATCCTTTCATGAGTTTTTAACTCAGCTAGATCAGTTTCTTTTTTTGCATGATTAGAGTTCTACATCTTTTACTATGCTTTTTATTTTTTTTCAGTTGAAGCAGTTGATTTATATGTAGCAGCATCAGAATAAATATTAACTTCATCTTGAATAAAAATCTGGTGTATCAATTATATGTGCAAAAAAACCCTCCAAAATATTTTGTATTGAGCAGACAAAAACCTATGACCTGATGGGGGCTACAGAGATGTTTGGAGTTGTTTAGCAAAGAGAAACATTTTCTTAGATGGCATAAACTGTAAAAAATTCTTAGTTTTTGAAAGTCCAATAGGAGATTTCTTTTCATCATCTCAGTCATATAGCTTTATTTAACTTTTTAAGTAAAGAGAGGTTTAAGTATCAAAACTGTCTTTTAAGGTGGTAAATCTTGATTGTGATAGTGATAAACATAAATATAAAATACACTACATTCTAATTTAGAAAAAAAAAAAGCCAAGAAAACTTTCTGGTCTCTATACTGCTATAATTGGATCTTTAGTCTCCCACAGTTTACAATTCTTGACTACCCTTTGCTCTGCCATCATTTTTTTTTGTGCTTTTTTTTTTTTTTTTTTTTAAATTACAGGACTGGTGTACTTATTTTTGCTTATGAATAAAGATCAGTTTCTGTCTAGAAAAATTACATCTGGCTAAACATCTATCATGTGGCTGGGCATGGTGTGCTTTATCTGTGTTGTTGGCCCAGAAATAATTTCTCATCTATCCAGAGGACACGCACATCATGAGCCAAAGAGAAGGAAATATACTTACAGTTCTATCACTGCTATGAAAGAACTTCACCAAGATGCTACCAGAAGTTAAAAATGAATGAAGATGCATTGTTATTTCTCAAAGCAAACAACAAAGATGGTCTAAATCATCTCAACATACAGAATTTTTCACTACGGTAGTGTTTATGCGAAGTGCAATAACAGTACCTAAATTCTTTCCTGTCTTTTTTTTTTCCTCTTTTTTTTTCCCCAAGAATTTCAGGAGTTCCTGACTTGTATGAGAACCAATCTGTCCTTAAAAATTACAAATGTTTCAATTGTTTTCAATGGAATTTGCATTTGGAATTCATATCTGGAGATCCAGACAATTGCTAGGAGTAACTGAAATAGTCACAGTATTACCACTGCAGCCAGAAAACTGTCCTCTGCTAGCCCAGATTACATTGGGATGGATATTTACCACGAGGATCTGCAGCATCCTCCACTTTAATAATAAAGTGCAGGTTTGTACATGTAGAGGCAATACAAAATCGGTGTTGTGCAGCTCACCAAAGGGTGAGTCCCAGGAATGTCACTGGAAAGGGAAAGGGATGGTATGGGTTGACTTCCGGATGAGTGTAAATTTGAGCCTAAGAAATGTAAACTCCATCGTCAAGATGATTAAGCAAAGAGGAAGCTTTCCCTGGTAAACGTGCACCTCAGAGGAACAGAAGATAACTCATATATGCATTACCTTGGCTGCTGGAAAACACTGCTAATTGGCATCTCTACAGACTAGAAGTTTGCACGAAATTTTGTCCTGTGTTTTTGTTTGTTTGTTTGTTTAACTGAGCTTTAGTTCAGTTTTTTGTTGTTATTGGTTTTGTTTTTCTTTTCCTTTATAATTATAATCTGCTGAGACTCATGCTTGCTACTACTCCTTAGGCCATGACTACCACTATTTCCATTAAGGAAACTGCTGTCATTTTCCTTTACAGGTACAAGTGGATATATTTTCAACTGAAACACATTTTGTTCTGAGAGGTATGACAGCTATATTCTTACAAGGAAGGAAATAGTCCTGACATTTAGAGATGTCTGTTCCTCTGTAGACTGTGGTGGAAATGTGGCTGCCACAGTGATTTCAGAATTTTTCAGATCAGGAAGGTTAAATTGCTACTCAGATCTAAAGCAATGGAGTGAATGTTCACAAATTCTGGTTTTGCTGAAGTCAAATCTGACAAGATGGTGAATGTACTCTGAATGTGTGCTGCTAGACTTGTTCTGGCTTCAGTGCTCACCCATAAGGTCTGTGAATCATAGGCAGTTGTGGAAGCTCGCAAGGCAGAATTTAACTTAAAATAAATGGCTTTGCTGAACCAAAGCCAGAAGTATTAGCTAAAAAACTTTATATATACCAGATTTTTCATCAAACAGATCATGGGGAGAGGACAGCAGTAGTTTCTAACACAAACAACTGACTTTCTTCACACTTTTAGTTGTTATTTCTAATGGTACAGAGATGATGCTTCTTAGAGAAAGTCACCTAAGTTTTCACATGTACTTATCTAATAGTGGTAAGAAGCCAAGCAATAGCTTTATCTCCCTATGTCTTCCATTTGCAGAAGTAAATGATAATGTAGTTCAAAAACAGTTTACAGAGGGTGAAACAGGGCAACGAGGAGCAAAAAAGCTACCCTTTGGAAAGTCTTGGTTGGTTCCTTGGTTGTGTTTTCAAACATCCTGTAACTCACCCAGTTCATGAGAAGAAGTATAGTAATCCCAGTAGCCTGTAATACTCCTGATTCAGACACATGTGGTTTTGGTCACAGAAAGAAAATATTTACCTTCTGACTGCCATAGTTCTCTAAAAACAACAGGCAGAATTTCTGCTACAGATTAGCCTCTATTCTACACAAAAAATTGATCTAAGCTGCTGACTTCAGACCCATTCCAGACTACATCTGAGTCCAGACTGACATGCAAAGACAGAGTTTGGACAACTGTAGTTTTACTTATGAAAATCCAGCATTTGAACATATGTCTTCCCCCTTTATTTACAATTTCCAGGATAAAAGAGAACAACCAAAGCTCTAACCACATCAGATGCCAATCATCCTCCAGGGAGTCACGTGCCTCCCCTTGGAGGCCAGAGACTAATTAGCAATTTTGATTTTTGACTACTCCATTTGGGAACCTATAGTAGTAGGCAGCTCTCTTAGGAAGAAATCAAACAGAACTCTGAGTTTGTCTCTGAGTCAGATATGTTGTGTTGTATTCTGAATGGACTTTCAGTGATACAAACTTTAATATATGCCCAGAATCTGATGAACACAGAGCATCATAAATCCCAGGCTTTCCTCTAACAAGTCAGCAGACACTAATCAGTACAATAAATTGATTCTATAACCCTAAGCTTTTCTCAAGAGGAACTTGTCTTCATTTGGTTAAACACATAATTAACCCCTCTTGCAACTGATGTCTAATGGAAAAGGAACATTGCAAGCCTATCAATACAGGAGAGTTATTTAGCCCTAACCTCATTTTATGTTAAAAACCTGCATAAAATATATAAATATGGAAATAATTTTTCTCACCTTGACACAAAATTATTCTACCAGATTCAGTCAGATTGTAGTTTGTAGAAATCACCAGGGAAAAGGAAAAATGTGAGATTTGGCACCATCCAAAACATAAGACAATACAAAGGGCAAATCATTTCCACTGACAGAGGCAGAAGTGGGGAGTTAGTAGAATCGCTGTTCTTGCTGGCCTCCAGGGTTGAAAAACTCACTGACATAATGAGTACATGCAGAAAGGATGACTTTGACAAAGAAATGATCTCCTTATATCATGTCCTAGATCAGCATGGCTTGCTTTTTATGTAACAGTCCTCTTCCTACCATACTCTGCCTGTGCTGTCTCCATTCCTACTTCACATTTGTGGTATCTAGAATAATAATCATCCTCACCACCATTTCTCTATTTCCTTCCTACTTTTCACTTTTCTTTAATTTACTTCCAACTTTTCTAACTTCTACTCTCATTTTTCAATTCTTCATGCATATATATCAAACTAAACAGTGTATCAACAGAGGTGTTGATAGTGGTGGCAGAACTTAACTGAATGCTTTCTGGACAGAGGAGAGACACATGGGTTTGTCAGAGGAAGTTCTGCATTGTCCAAACAGCCTGTTATATCTATGCAATGAACAGCCAAACCATTACAACCAGAAAGCAATCATGAAAGCACCAAGAGGTCAAGAATTGATAGATGGTTGACTGAAAAATGAAGTATTATAATGAATGTGTTGTCATTGGCTATTATGAAAATTTAGATTCCTACTGGAAATCATAAATATGAATGAATAGATGCTTTAGTCTCAAATTGAACTTATTGTTCTCTAATTCTCAGAATACATGACAGAACAAATGAAAAACTCTTGAAGTTACATTGGTAAATTCCACAAACATTAAAAAAAAACAAAAAAAAAACCTCTAAACAGGATTAAAATGGGACTTCAGATCATGAGTAAAATTCATGACCTTCTGAAAAGAATAAGGAGCCACAGTAATCTTGCTTAAAGTCTGAAATAGTTCATTAATACCAGGGTCTAACTGTGCCTGGCTGTTCATTTTATATACACCTACATTGCTCTGAAAGAATTTGCAAACAGTATGACAGAATGCAGGATTGCCTGCTCTTGATGTAGTCTATTATTAATGAACTCAGAGCAGTTCTGTAGCACATTTCAGGATAGGAAGAGTGAATATCATGTGCAAGTGAAACTGCAGTGTTTTTTGAGTATACAGCATGTAATTATCCGGACTGGAATGTGGCCAATGCACTAAAGCTGACACTCTAACACTAGTTTTGCAGCAGTCGATATCCAGCATATTTGCAAACAGTTTGCCGTTGTTCATTTTCCAAGGTTCAGCATTAGAAAGGAATATATTCTGTATTATATCCTGAGAGCAGACCATCCTCCTTCTGATCACAGACCCAGAAACTTCTTTTGTTGCTTAACTCTGATATCTTTAATTTTTTAGGGAATTTATTCTCTCTTAGGGCAGTAGAAGAATGAGAACAATAGCTTCCTTCCCAAATACCTGGATACATGTCAGTGACATGTGGTGGAAAATGACTCCCCAGAGTCTTCTCTGAGGTCCAAACAACACACCACCTTAGAATGACCACAGTCATGCACTTCAGCATGAGGGTCATGCACATCACGAGCACTTCACAAAGACACTCTCTGTTGTGTTGTATGGAGTATGAAACAGCTTTGAAATAACCATCATTAGAAAACCTGGCAAATTTGCTTATTTTTAATTATGTGGTAAGCCATTTTCAAAAGCAATGATGTCTCTTTCCTCATTCCTCAGATAATATCAGAGCACTAATGAAGGAAGCTCAACAAGTCACTACTTGGAATAACTGGGAGGGAAAGGTCATTTGGTTCAGGCTTGGGTGGGAGCAGAAGCCAATTCAGCGATAGTTTGTTTGGGAATTATGAGAAATAAGTAGGAGGTGCAGAGATTTGTTGAGACAAAGGTTGGTACCTGTGAAGATGAGGCTACATGTGCTTGTTGGCAGAACTCATTTTACAGGAACAAAATCTGTTATGAAGCATGGCTTATGAACTCTGCTCCTAGAATCGGATAGGTTCAATGGGATTACATATTGCATCAGCTTTTGGAATTGAAGCCAAACAATGGGTATTTTCATTATTGAAATATTTGTATTGTGAGCTACAGAGCTTTGCATTGTCCCATAAGGGCAACGTTTTGTGCTCTGATGATTACACTTCCCAGGAGGAAAGAACTAATTTCACAGTTTTTACTCATATGTGGGAGAGGAGAGTAAGCCCACTCTGGTCTGGGTCTGAGCCAGTGGAAGCAGCACCTAAATAGAAAGGAAAATTTAAAAAAAAACCAACAGAACAGACCTAACTATAGAGAGCAACATGGACCCCATGGGTCTTTCAAGCATGTTTCTATAGGAGGTAGAGCAGTAATACCTCTTGATGTAAACCAATGGCACAAATGACTGCTTATTTTTGCAGTTTGCCTTTTGTTGGCTCTGAAGAACGTCCTGCAATGTCATGTCTGGCATACAAGTAATGTATTTGCTCTTTTTTTCTTCTCTTATAATAGAGCTTGCTCTTCAGAGTAGTAATGTTTTTCTATTAAGAATTTTCTCAGGCATTTCATAAAGCTGTGATTTGGATATTTTTTTCTTCATGCACTGTTGGATTTGTAAAAAAATTTGCTGAGCTCAGTGAAGCACTAAGATAATTTTGTATTTTGTAAATACTGGTCTGGTATTGAGGAGGCTCACTAGAAAGCAACAGAACTCTTGAGGATTAAGTATCCTAGAGCTCAATAATAAGCTGACACTTATTTAACTAACTCCATCTCTGAGCTTTTGAGCTTACTTTATTTGCCGATTTCAGCATTGACTTCAAGGCAATACATTGAACAATAAGGCTTTTAATCAACATTATTTCTACTGTAGAAACTTTAAGGTATTCAAAGTTCGTTGTTCCTACTGCAAATATTTTTTCTATTGCCTCCTTTCTACAGCTGAGGCCTTCGTAGAAAAGCTTCAATTACAAGTTCAATTCAGTGCTCACATTTTCTGCATCTCCACTCTATGTCCATCCTTAAAGTGTGCTACTTTCACCTCTATATCATCTCTCTATTAAATCAACTGCTTGGAAATCTGTAACAGAATGCTGAACTTCTGCAGCAATCATTTGAACTAGATGGATAGAGATTTCCACCCAAAGTCATGACTGTCATAGTATTATAATGAGCATGTAAGTGAATATCAATGCTTAGCATTACCAGATGCAGTAACTTGTCAATTCATTGATCCCAGCACTGTTAAAGCTATAAATTATTTACAATTTTTTCTTTCCAAGATATTGTCTTACACATTTCTACTTTTAACTTCATGATTTTCTTTATTGCTAAACAGGATTTTCCTAACACTTGTATTCTACTGGGAACTAAATTTTGAGGTGGATGGGTTCAACTTT